ACTAGTTAACATTAAAGGGATTGTTGGCTCAAAAGAGCTCTGACTTTTTGTCAGCCTGGCTACAGTGCTGAAGAGAAACCTGGGGTTGTTCTTATTTACTTCAATCAGTGATGAATAGTAAGATGTTCTGGCTTTGTGGAGGGCTTTCTTATAAAGCAGCAAACTATTTCTCCAGGCTAAATGATGATTTGATAAATTCGTGACATGCCATGAATCATATTTCTGGAGATGCATGTTTGCTATTAGCCGTTTACTGTTTCCTTGTCACTTCAACGACTCTTCCATTATGTTAAACAAAAACACTTGCGTTGTATTTCTGTTTCTGTTTATTTTACTTGTAATTTCTTCCACTGCTGCTCAGGTATAGCTTGAGTCAGTGAGAGACATTTTCTGCTGTCTTGTCTTTTGCTGGCTCAACCCTGTAGGCCAGACAGATGTTCCTCAGCAGTTATTATGCTGATTTCCATGTTTTATTTTTTGGCATGTTTTATTTAGATTATTTACAGTCAGTAGTTTATTAATCAATGGATGACACTTTCACTGGTTGTTGGAGAAATAAAACATCCCGTGTTTCACGACAGATTTTCAAATTGCTCAGTCGGATCTATCTACATATTCTTTAGAAGAACAGGCACAAACATTTTTTTTACCAACATTTAGGGCGGATGTTCCCAGCTACACCTGGGCTACCAGAAAAAGCCACAGCTTGTTTTTACCCTCCACCTACAAACTGATAGTTAAACACTCTAATGACATACATGATACATATCTGACAGAGACCACAGCTGTGGAGCAGCGTTCACTTAAAAAAAAACTTTTGTCGACCATCTTTGACTAAATCTTTTTATTTATTCGCTCTGTCAGTAGGTGCAGCAATCGGCAAAGGTTCTTACTTTGCTGTGAACCCAAACTATTCAGCACAAGGCTACGCCAGCCCTGACGCCAGTGGACACAAGCGCATGTACCAGGCCAAGGTTCTTGTTGGAGAATACACCCAAGGAAACAGTGGCATGATCACCCCTCCAGCCAAATCTGGGAGCGCTTCAGACCTGTATGACAGCGTCACAGATAACATGTCGAATCCAACCATGTTTGTGGTCTTCAATGATATCCAGGCCTACCCAGAATACCTTATAACATTTACATGAGCTGCCACCACTGTGCAACATTTCTGAGAAAAAAATAATTATGTTTGTTCTGACTGTTCATTCTTTAAAATTACAAATTATATATAATAGTGTAAGTCTGTTTTCATTTGCTGCTTTAAATATATTGAAGCACATTTTAAAGGAAGATTAAACTAACGCTGAAATAAATTCTCTTCTCTGTTATTTCTTTAATGTGAACAATAATCGGAGAATCGTAAAAGTAAACTCCAGTTTAAATTGTCTCCTGCTGCCATTCCCATTCCCTTCAGGTCACCCAGGGTGTCGCTATGATTAGTCACATATCTAGAAAACTTTGGTGTAGCTGTAACTCACGTCACTTGGTAAACTTACTCACTCAATCACTTCTGGTTGTCACGAGGAATGAGGGACCCGGGTGTGGAGCTTCTGAAGGAACAGACAGTGCTTTTATTTACAGTGAAAAAGGAAGGGTGACAAAGAGTCCAATGTTCAAGTAGTCCTCCGTGTGAGTGAGTTTCCCATTTCCCAATTGTGTGTGGTACTGTGTGTCTTCTCCCCTAGTGAGCCAGCATTCAATTCCTCTCCAGCTGAGCCTCCCGTCTCTATCCTAGGAGAAATTAATACAAAAAGTTAAGTCTTCTCTTCAGCAGGTTAGTCTCTACTTAGCTCGATGCCAGCAATTACTACCAGGCTCGGTACAATACTCCCACGCTGACTGTCGCCCAGCACCGCCGTTAAATAGGCCATACAATATGAAGGATGATTAGGAACAGCTGGGCACAGAAAAGGGCTTTTCGGCCCTTTTGCTCTCCCTTTTTGTCACTGATGTGTTGGCTGCCTTAGTCTGTGATCGCCTAACGCTCCTATCTATTCGATCCTCTATGATGGGTCTGGATACCTCATCCTCCTGCGACGGTATTTTCCATCCTCCGCTGCCGGTGTCAGGATCTTCGTCAGGCGTCACCAGTGGTACCTTTCTGGATCTACACAAATCACGGAGGAGGAGAGGAAAAAGAGCAGGTAGCCAGGTGAAGCTTAGACTGTTCTGGAAGCGGAGTCTAGCTGGTAAGGGGCGGCAAGCATTTCTGGTCACCTGTGCTCAGACAGTTTCTATGAAGGGGAACTTTTCTTCCATGTCCTTGCTTGAACGTAACGGGCCTGGACCTATGAGACTGTTCATCCAGACTCCCCGGTTGCTTGACCTTCAATCCCCTTGGTGAGTGGAATTAATGAGCATCGCAGATCAAACCCCTTAGTTTCTACATCCCCTAAATTGTGCCACTTCTCTTTGGGTGTTAAAGGTTGCTGACCCCTGCTCTAAATGTTGTTGGCGCATTTCAGGAGCACGCTGTTAATAAAGTTACACAATTGCATAGTGAATTCACGATTATTATTATTATATTTACAAAATACGACAGGTTTTTTTTCTTGGTCGTATCATTTTATTTTGTTGTATTTATCCACAACACCTTAAAGGCCGGTCCGTGAAAATATTGTCTGACATTAAACTGGTCCGTGGCACAAAAAAGGGTTAGGGAACGCTGATCTAATAGATTCCAATTTGTTCATGTAAATGGAGAGTCCTCTTCAAACACTAAGGCTAATTGTGGAGTTCCACAGGGTTCAGTGCTAGGACCTATTCTGTTTACATTACACATGCTTCCCTTAGGCCAGGGTTCTGCAACCTTTAACACCCAAAGAGCCACTTGGACCTGGTTTCCATGCAAAAGAAAACACTGGGAGCCGCAAATACTTTTTGACATCTAAAATGAAGATAACACTGTATATATTGTTTTTACCTTTATGCTTTGTATGAACTACTAAGGTGTGTTGCTTATGAAATCCATGAAGTGCTACAGAGAAAATTACGTTTTATTTATTTAATTAACACATTTTGAACTCTTAAAGAAATATAACAAAAGGAAAGACACCCAGCTGAACTAAAAGGATCCAGCAAACAGCGGCTGTGAGCCGCCAGCCTCATATCGCCTTTGTGCTTTTAGAGCCTTGACCTGACTTTTAAAAAATAATTGGAAAAAAAAGCTCTATGCTGCTGAAAAAAATAGATATTTGCACAAATCTGCTTAAATATGTATTTTACCTGGTTAATGTGTGCAGCGCCGCTGCATGTCAAAAAAGAGCATGTCAGACCTGCAGGTATCAGGCTGTGATGTTCTCCTTTATGGTGGACAGAAATTATGTTTTTAGAGTGGCACAAATAATTTGTTTGATTCATTAAACATGTTTGTGGTTGTTACAGTAAAAAATATAATGAAAAGATAACTGTAAATTCAGACATGTGAGGTTGTGCTGATGATACCAAACAAGACAAAGTAAATAGTTTTTAAAGGTGAAATGTGGAGGAAACATCAAAAGTAGTTAAAATGGCCGATTATACCCTGGACCCCAGAGGGTTAAACATTTTTTTTAAAGTAACGCAATGGTTACTTTTCAAGTAATTAATTACTTTTAGAATCTTGTAACTCAGTTAGTAACTCAGTTACTTTTTTCAAGAAAGTAACTATAATAAATTACTTTTTGAAAGTAACTTGCCCCAAACTGCTCTTTTGTTTCCTCTTTTAAAATTTGTTTCAAATGTTTGCAAGGCTTGTAGAAAGTTACTTTTATTCAGAGACAGCAGTGTGTAGTTAATGAACAATTCAGCTTATTTGTATGCGTAGCATCTTTGTGTTCAAGTATGTCTTGTATATGTTGTAAATTTTAGCACAGTCTGGATGACAAATGACATTTTACAGTTATTGAAATGATTCATGGTAAACTCTTTTTTCTAAGAGAACTCAATCAATATCCATGTTATATCTGTGCAATACCTGCAAATAAATTATCAGACCACATTTAGCTGGTAAATGTGTGATCTACTCATGTAAAGGGAAGATGACCTTTACAAGAGCTACACTGCTTATGGAATGAAATCATGTTTGTCTGGTTTCTGGTTGCTTACAAAGGAGGAGGCCACTTAAAACCAAAAGTGGAATTTGGTTCAGGAGAGATTGTCTCAGTACATCATCACTCTCAATAATACATCAATTTCTATGAGTATAAATAGTATAAATTTTCTCTGCCTGTGAATTAGTGATGGTAAATTTGATTCTTTTTACTGAATAGAGTTTTAATGAGTCACTCACCAAAGTGAATCGGTTTTTTTGAGTCATTTGATTCACTGAGTCAGTTGACCAGAGAGTGCAAAAAATGTACATTTTCACTCAAACCTAATTTGTTTCTCTTTTCATGTAAATCCTACTGCTAGGATGAATGATTCTAAAAGAAATCAACTTTTTATGGAGCAAAAAAGAGCAAAAACATTTCTAAAATTAAGCAATTTCCTATCAAAATTGCTTAATAAACATTTATTTTATTTTAATATATTTGTATTTTTTATTTTATTAGTATTTTCCTTAAATGTGTTAAATATATATTTTTTCATCTAAATGTCCACTGAGCTGTGAGCCAGGGGGCGGTAATGCACCTTAACATCGGTTGCCAACCAAGAAGAAGAAGAAGCTGTGAGCCAGGAGGGAGGGGGTGAGTAGCGCAAATGTACTGTTAGCATGTTAGCAGAGTGATGTTACTGTGAACCGAGGAGCTATTTTCTTGATGTGAGCTTCTACTTAGGGTTTTTTCTTCCAGTTCAGAGCAGAAATTTTTTGTTAAGATACTGGATGTTGTGTTTTTCTCCACAATTTTAATTATAAGCTAGATACATTGCTGCTAACAGCAACAGGGATGAGTCAGTGAGTCATTTGGGCTTGTGAATCATGATTCATGAGTCAGTAAAGTGATTCTCGAGTATTGAACAATTCATTCATGATTTGCGCATCACTACTGTGAATGCTTTGACTAATCCATCTTTTTGTTGATTGGGGAACAATTCTTTGAAACAAAGTTTGTCTGACCTGGTGTTTGGCTGAAGTGAAAATGCAAAAGCACTGAAAACTGTACCAACCAGGTACAGGTTGGTACAGTTTTGATACAAAACAGGTCAGGCAGGTCTCTCTTTACAGAACTAAACATGCATAACAGACGCCGTGTGAGCTTTTAGGATTGAGAAACATTTAGTGATCTCATATGGGCGATACATTTGTGGCGACAAACAAATTGTGCTTGCTGTAACTCTGGCCTAGTGAGTTACAATGAGTAAATGAAAGAAGAACAGTTTCTTCCAGGTGTTTTTATTTCTTGCTTTCTTCTTTCCAAGATATTTAATTCTTGTAGACTTTAAACCCTGTAATATGTCTGGGGTGGCTGTAGCTCAGGCGGTAGAGCAAGTCACCTACTC